AGTTGTCTGTACAATAAACAGACGGGTATGTACAGCCAGCGGTAACGCAATCACAGGTTAACGTTACACTTAATATGATGATAAAATTATCATACTATTAATAATACGACGCCAGTTCCAAAAAAACAAGCAGAGTCAATCCGAATAACGGTCGAAAAGGTAGAAAAAAACGCTGCCTAAGTATTATTTAAAAAGTTTACGAAGCCAGAGTTGACGATACTATATAAAATAAAATTCTAAAATGAAACGGAAGCTAAAACCAAGAAGGAAAATATCACGTTTTTCTTTTATTTACTTAGATAAAAGTTTCCAGAACACTGGTACAAAGTTTGCGGGACGTGACCAGAAAATTAATAAAATTTCGATCTAGAAAGTTCTTTTTACGAAACTTTGGTCTAATTTTATTGGTGATAAAAGCTCTAAGCTTTATGGACTTTCAAAAGCTTTTCTGCACCTTTTCAATAAGTTTACAATGTTGAACGAAACCATAAAATTATTTCTGTATCAAACTTTTTCTTGTATCTGCTAAGGGTGCTGCTCTCTGCAATATACTGCTGTCTAGAAAACTTATTGGGTTGTACTTATAATCATGAATTTGCGCGATAAATTGTTTTTTTTTTTATACCAGTAGGGCTGCCACGACTGATGCGACTTGTGCAAGAGCGACATAAAGCGCGAGACACTCCTATTCTCGCATAGATTATCTCGCGCTTTACGTCGCTCTCGCGCAAATCGCGTCCTGTCGGGTTAGCCCTAAAAGTAACGGGTCGAACATGTCGTAGACATGGTGATAAACGGCACGACTAATCATTAACAGTTGCAGTGTCATTCAGAGCTTTAGTCGCAAAAATAAGACGGGCACTGCTGCTGCACGTGTCATCCCGAGACATGATGTTGACGAGTGCTACGTGACTGTGTCACGCGGGCCTCGCGTGATTAGATACAAGGCACGGTCCACATGAATTTTATTGTAGAAATAAATAATAAGTACAGGAAGGGTGAAGAACAGGTAAAGTAAAGGTTGTAACAAAACTATGATGTAAAAAACAGGTTATGGTAAAAAGGAACTCAGCCCAAAGAGGTCAGTAATTTCTACAAATACTACGCTTTATTGAGAAAACTAATTGAAGTATGTGAGTCATATGCAACATCCCATGACATATTATATAATGTTAAAAAGTCAGAGTTTATGATCTTTGAAGCCGCCGATAGGAAGAGTGCACACGTAGGGCACTTCCTGTACTACTTAATGGTTCTCCATTAAAAAGGGTTAGCCACTTTAAATACTTGGGACATTATGTTACCGACGATCTCAAGGATGACCTGTATATACAGCGCGATCGGACAGCACTATTGGTGAGAGCAAACATGCTTGCCTGCAGATTCGCCAGATGTAGGGCTGCAGTTAAGATAACATTGTTTAAAGCTTACTGCACACCAATGTACGCTAGCGCTCTGTGGAAGAGCTACACTCATTGCTTTCGGAATGCTCTGTGCGTGCAACATAACAACGCCTTCAGGACGCTGTTGGGGCTGTCACGTTTCTGCAGTGCCTCAGTCATGTTCACTGATAGTTTCACGGCTGTTGTACGTAAAAAGTCGGCGTCGCTACTGAAGAGAATACGTGACAGCCCCAATAGCCTCCTGACGACAGTTGCTGACAGGAATGAGTGCCCAATTATGCGACACTTAATAAATAATACAAAGTCCCTTGTAAAATATAAATACTAATATAGTTTTAAGTCTGTACCTACTAACATTTGATTGGATCTCAGTTGTCTCAATAAATAAATTTTATTATTATTATTTATACGCAGTTAAGTTACATGATTTTTATCGGAGTTTTATGTCACGTCAAGCACGTGTGGTAGCTTCGGAAATTTAATGGAGAGTGGTGATGCAAAGAAGAAGTTTAAGTGACGAAAAAGAAAAAGGAATTTATGAACGATTTAAAATTTCAAAGTAGGTGGCCAGGCACCAGAGAGAAGGGTGGTAAAAAGGTGGGATGGCGATGTTAGAGGTCGCATTGTCACAACTGTAGTTTCATCTGCTTACCCTGCAAAACCGAATGTCGTAACGCTCTCATTACTGCATGGCGACTATTTTCTAAGGAGTTACTGTTCAACAGTTTGAAAATGCTAACGTGTTTACAGAATAAGAAAATTCTGTACGCTTATTTTAACGTAAAAATTTGCTTTAACACCTGGGATATAAAAGTCTTCTTACGGGAATCCTCTAACGAAAAGATTTAGGCTATATCTATTAGGGGAATAAGTACCCCCGTTTGCCTGTCTCGGAAGTTGCTAAACCACAGAGGCAGACGGACTGGGGCGAAGAGATTTCACAAAGTTGGAGAAGAGGAGGAAGAAGTCAACGAGCCTTAACCTGTGTGGCACAGCACCTACAGGATCGAACTTTCTGCTGCGTCCGGCCATGCCGACGAGGCTATTATACCTGAACGAACCAGAAGGCCTTACAATTTTTTTTCTATGTGCTTGTTGCAAGCCTTATTTTGTTTTTAACGACTTTTTTACCGTAGCGCCATCTGTGACAAATCTATGAAAGTTTTACTTCACTCAGCCAGGTATCTTTACAGCTACCGGCGGCTGACCAAAATATTACAGTATTATGCTGTTGATTTATGAATAACGATTCTTTTACCAGGTTTTTTTATAATATCAAGTGACGGGATGAACAAGTCATGCGCCTGATGGTAAGCTACACGCCTGTCCATAACAGTTGCAGTGCCACTAAGAGCTTTAAATCGCAAAGATCTGAAGGGCACTGCCACTGCGCCCGTCACACTGAGACACAAGTTGACAAGTCCCATGTGCCTGTAATTCATATATAGCACCCTTGTCATTCAAAACCGGAACACAGTAATGCCGACATTACTGCTTGGCAGAAATAGGTAAGGTGGCAGTAATTCCCTGTATGAACTCACAAGGAGCCTACTGCTGCTAAAGTACTAAACTAAGTTCGGGTTAAAACAAATATATCTTCACAAAATCCCAACATGGTGATATAACATTCACAAATTATACCACGCCAGAGTTTGTTAACATAATAGTTTCCAGAACAATCCACATAATGATACAGCAAACAATAACAAAAAAAACATAAGCAAATTAATTCACGAAATAATGTTTTCTTTTACAAGGAATATTTACATTATTCATTGAAAGTTTTGAATAACAAATTTCTGAATTTCCGTCCACCTTTATGTCTTCATTCTTTGCCTGACACCTTTCTACTGGCTTCGTCTTATTTGTACTGATTACAACGCTTGAAAATTTTGAATTGCTAAATATTTTCTGTTTATATACTTAGTCATTCTAATGGAAATTATAAGAGCAATAATATTGTGCAGTAAAATAATAAATTGTTTTTATAGAAAATATACAATACTATGAAATGCGAAAGTAGTTCTGTTTGTCTGTTACGTTTTCACGCCTAAGCCAGCTTAACCAATGTCGATGAATTTTGTTATAGAGTCATGCGGGGTAACCGAGCGCAGTGGGTAAGTGTGCGCATGAGCGCTATATCTCCGGAACAGAGGAAGAGGGGTAGGCTGTTTGTTTGGGTTAAATCAAGGCACTTGAGTGACTAATTAGTTCCGATTTAGCGCATGCGCGTCCATGTGGTGGCCACTAGTTAACCTTTTTTAAGCAAAAACCTGTTTTTGTTGTTAACATCCATAGATTTTTGTGTCTGAGGAAACATTGTAGCATCTGTATTTTTATTTCATAACAGTAAGTTGTTGTTTTTTTTTAAATAAACTATCAGGTTTTATTCAGTGCCAAATATTTTACGATTATTCATTTGCAATTTAGTGCTCTGGAAAAAGTTGCGTGTACACATGCGTACCCTTGTCCCGTCTGTAATATTTTCGTCCATACATTTATACGATATTTTTAACAAGCTTTTATTTATTAAATTTTTATTGAATTTATATTCAATTATTTTTTGTGAAATTACTCCACTAGTTTGTTATAATTATTAATACAAAGATCGAACGCTCAGAAAAAATTCCTTCGATCCGGTCAGATTCGAACCGACGTCTGCTTGCATACCGTGCCAGACGCTATACCAACTAAGCCACGGAACGAACCAACGGACCTCACGAATTTTTCTATGTGCTTGCGTCGTGTCTTTGTATTTGGTTTTTCAACGACTTTTTGGTCGTAGCGCCATCTATGAGAAATCTATGAAAGATTTATCACCCAGTTAGTACCTTTACAGCTACCAGTTCTGACGAGAGATGTCGCTATTCACTGTATTAATTAAATTTTTATTGAATATCTTTGTATTAATAATTTAAATTTATAGTATTTTTTTCTCATTCATTCCGGAAACTTATAGTGCGCCTCACGTATCTCCATTTTGACAACATTACACGATGAAGAAAAAAATTGTTTTATACATTTTTATTACACGTACGCTACGTATTTTTATTTAATAAATCAGATGCTATACATAAATGTTGCAAACATTTTTTTCTTCATCGTGTAAAGTTGTCAAAATTGAGATAGTACCGGTTGCCAGTTCAGAGTCGATAGGTTAAAAGGGCTTAAATATATAAAATAAAAAATAAAAACTTTTTGTAACAAAAGAATGGATAAACCATATAGGTGCTTAAACAAATTTCTACACAAAATTAAAGAAAAAAAGAGCAAAACTATTTAACCGGGATGTGAACTTACGACCACAGGCTTTGCAAGCAGTCTCGCCCCACTATCATTACTACTAAATAATTTGTGTTTTTTATTATTCATTCGTCACAATTTTGCAGACAACTCGGCAGGATTATCTATCTTTTCGCCTCAGTATATCGTCTAACTGCGTAGCCAGACCGTCATTAATGGATCATCATAATAATGTATAGACGGCAAACTTATTTCAAGTGAATAACGAAGTCTGTAAACGAAGCGGAAAGGTAGAATTATAAAATGTTGTGATAATTGGATACAAACACGAAACGTTTTATAAAGGCTTCTTACGGCCTGTGATATCACGGGCCACGTCGCGCCCCGCGCCGGTTTGTACAGGCGAGCGCACCACAGGCCCACGTTGGCACGGGAGGTACCTACTCTTCCCACGGCGCATTGGCGTCAGCTCGTGCGGCGCGGTCCGTGGAGCCACGGGCCGTGGGAAGCCTACGTTATACAACCACGTTTCATAATAAATTAAATTACAATTATTTCAAAAATTTAAAGGCTTTGTAAAATTGAAACTTCCTTATCTAATAAAAGGAGTTTTACTTGGGTATCAACTTCAAAAGTTTTTGTATCTATACATTTACATACAAATTAAAAACACCATAGATACTTAAACGGATTAAAAAAGCAATTTAAGTCTTTTATACCCGACTGAAAGTTTTTTATTGGATAATGAATTTTACAACTTAGAGGAATTTGTTTCGAAGATACTGTAATTTTGTTTTTATTGGACGTCGTTGTTTTAATGTTTTTACCCCATTTCAGGGCGAGTTACATATTGCAATGTTAAACCTTCCTAACTTGTCTCTAATTTAGTGCTGCATTGACGTAATTGTAATTTTGGCAAAATTTAACAAAGTATCTTAACACATTGTGTTAAACATATTTAATTCAATTGTGCCAAAATTATAATTACATCAATGTAGCACCAAATGAGAGCGCTTTATTACACCTCCCTGCACCTCCCCAATGTAGAGTTAGGGTCAACGTTTCACAACCAAATACATACCTAATAATAATAACTTTTTATAAAAAAAAACAACTTACAAGTTCGTGGAATTAATTTAAAAAATTTAAAAAGTTTTATTGATATCGGTTGCCGGAAAGTACGCGAAGCCGGATTCATTCAATAATTCGGAATAGTTCAATTGATATTCATAAAATCATTGGTACCTATTGTACAGTACTATCTATTGTAAAATTTCGAGGTAGGTTCGTGACTTTTTCTGTCATAAAAATTTCTAGGAATCGAGTTTTCACACCGTATAGTATTCAGTATACGTGCTCAATTTTACTAATACTTTTTCCAAAGTTATTGATTCAATACTTTCACTGTTATGATTTAGATTTAGATTTAGATTTATTTTATTATCTTGTAAACTTTACATTATTATATACAATATATTGTATTACAAGAATCGTTACAAATAATAATAAATGTTACATTTCAAAAAATTACAAATATCCAGTACAACTTTTGTACTACGTAATTTTAACATAGTCAATGTAGTTATGTGAAATAATGTAGGAACATATTAAATAATAATTATGTCAATATAATGATTGTATACATAAAGTTTATGTAATTTATTCATTATGCGGAATGAACCAAAGCTATTTGAGTTTATATAGACTCTTAAAGCTGCAACAGATATTAAGCAGATAATGTACAGCACCACCGGACTGTTTTTGCCTTGAGAAGTTAACCTTCAGATCCTTTTACAACACTGGCTATTCCGTTTCTAATGCCTGCGTTGATGTTCCCTATTTATCCCGCTTGGATTATAAACCAATTACAACTTTTGGGATTCTCCAGAACTCGCTACAATCGCCTGATCAATCGACATAAATTTATTTGAACAAACTTTCTTTCCTGCGATTACTTCCTGTTAGTAAAATACTTTGCAGAAATAGGCTTTTTGAAATGAGTTGTGAGCTTGGTGCTAAGCGGCACGCCTTCTCGGAGCTTTAAATTGAAAAAAATCTAAGTGGCACTATCAACTTATGTCTCAGGGTGACGGACGCAGTGGCAATGCCCCTCAGGTCGTTGAGATTTAAAGCTCTGACTGATACAGTAACTATTATGGACAGGCATATCGCTTACCGCCAGTCACACTACTTGTTGGTCCCGTCATTTGGTACCATAAATAAATAATAAAAAAGATTAAAAAAAACTACACAAAACCGGAAAACAATGATGCTGACGATCGAAATGGATATGGCGACAGTACATTCCTGGACGAACTTTTTCAAAGGAAGTTCTACCGCTGCTTACAATAATGGCGCGTTCCCATTACGTTGTGAACGACAGATAGTCGTGCAGTTTAAAGTGTCGTGGATTGTATATTTAAATGATTTGGTTGTTCAGACGTAGAACAACACGATTAATTGTCGTTCACGATTTTTTTGACGTTACGACGACAGACTGTCGTAACAATGGGAAGAGCTAGAACGATAGTTGTTCGACGATAAATAAAACGTCACGATAGAAATGTGACGACAGATAATCGCAGCGTCAAACTATTCTGTCGTGCAAACGACACCGACCGATAAATTGTCATCACGATGTAGTGGGAACAGCCAGACACGACAGTCGTTCAACGATAAAATAAACGTCTACGACACAGTCACGACAGACAGTCGTTATAACAGGTTAGACGCGACAGTCATCCAACGATAAATAAAACCCTACGACTTAATGGGAACGGGCCCTTACGTAACTTACAAATTATAGTCATCGACCGGTACCTGTGCATTTAAACCATAAACTTCTCTACTACCCCTTTACTAGACAAGTGTCGTGTTCCATATTAAGGTGCCTATAAATGAAATCTTTAGGTGACAATTTATTGCCACCATTAGGAATTACAACTGAAGTTCTAATTACGAAGCCAATTACAGACAGACTGACATCGCTAACACTGTAATTAAGCAAAGATTTATAACCAGCAATTAGGTTATTACAAGTACGGTTTATAAGTAATTAATTACTTATAAACATATGCAAGAATGTGTGGGCATAGTCACAGATTACTTAATAGTTGCACAGTATTACTGTCTATGCCTACACGTCGTGCGGAACGTAGGGTTGTCACATTTTTATTTTATGAGTAGTTGTAACCACAGATTATTAAACATAATTTGACATGAAATAAGGTATTAAGAAATAAGGCATTTATCATACTCCCGCTACATTGAAATAACTTATATCAAATGCAGTGCTTACATATTGATTC